TATATATTATATATATATATATATATATATATATTATATATATATATATATATATATAGTATATATATATATATATTATATATATATATATATATATATATATATATATATATATATATATATATAATATATATATAATATATATATATATAGTATATATATATATATATATATATATTATATATATATATATATATATATATATATATATATATATATATATATATATATATATATATATATATGTATATATATATATGTATATATATATATATATATATATATATATATATATATATATCTATATATATATATATATATATATATATATATATATGTATATATATATATATATATATATATATATATATGTATATATATATATATATATATGTATATATGTATATATATATATATATATATATATATATATATATATATATATATATATATATATATATATATATATATATATATATATTAAAAAATAAAATAAAAACATCGTTTATACTTTTAAAAACATTCTTAATGTTTTTAAAAACATTCTGGTCAATTAAATTTGCGTTTTTGCGGTTTTTTAAAAAAATAATTAAGTTAATGGTTTTAACTTTATGACAACACGGAAATGTTGGATGAATGTCAAAAGTAATTAAAAGTGACGTAACTTGTTGTCTAAAGAATTATTTTTTACTTTCCGTACTCTCAAAACCAACAGTTTATAGAACTCTCTCTCTCTCTCTCTCTCTCTCTCTCTCTCTCTCTCCTCTCTCTCCCTCTCTCTCTCCCCTCTCTATATATATATATATATATATATATATATATATATATATATATATGTATATATATATATATATATATATATATTATATATATAGCTATATCTGTAAAAAAAATTTAAAAAACTATATAAACTTTAATTTTTATAATACAGTTGGGTTATTTCTATATTATAATAAAGTTTATTTTTCATTTAAAAAATCTAAATAATTTTGTTTTCTCGATTAAAAACGCATTAACGCGTGTCATGAAATTGCTGTCAAGAAGTTTCAATTAACATACTTTAGTATACCGCATTACGCAATACCAATTATGCAACTAATGATTTTTGGCAATATTTATATTAAATATAAGAAATTTACTATACATAACCAACAATTTTATCGGTATTGCTTTTTTCGCACTATCACTCTACTATTCATATTGTTTAAAAAATATCAATATCGATATCAAAAATGGCATGTAAAAGAACTAAAGATGAACCTTCGGAATGCAACAGCTTTCTTCAAAGCTCTAAACGGATGGGCCAAGTTGCAACTGTAATTACATTTCATTTATTTGATCTCTATGTAGGATTGCAATAATTTAACTCGCATTTTCCTCTTTTATTTTATTTTTTATTATGTTACCGTAAACCGGGGTTACTTTGAGCGTTTTTGAGATATTTTTACTTGCTTTTTCCTCACTATAGGCAATATTTAAAATTTAACAAAATTAATATAGGGGCTAAGGTTGACTCATACATAATTTAAATTCAAAATATTATTTAAATAATATTAATTTAAACAGTTTAATATTAATTTAAACAGTCATTTAAAATTCTTTTAAAATCATTTTTTTGTTATACGATATTTATGTTTTATAAAATGAGTTTTTAAAATCATTTTATTATTTTCAAAAACAATTTTTTGCGTTACCATTAAATAAAATGTTTTAAAAAAGTTGTCACAGACTTATTATGTCAAATGTTGGTTGTTTCCTAATTATTGAAACTCCATTTACTATAAAATTTTTGGTATTACATATTTAGTTTTAAATAATAACGGTCTTGTTTAAACGCATAAACGTTTTTGCTTTTGTATAAAACCAAAAACGTTAATGCGATTCTTAAAAACTTTAAATTGCTGAAAACCTCAAAAATCATACAATAAAAAGTCTATACCGATTTGATTGCTACATGTCGCAGCTTTTTTTTAGCTATCTATATTTTAGCACGGAATATCGATAGTTTTTTATACAGTTGTAGTTTCGGCCCACCTTTGAATGGGAGTATTTTTAAACTAACTCAATAAATTATTTTTATTGTAATCAATGCACATAAAATGTGTTGAGTATTTAACTTAGGTAAAGTTGAGTTGATTATGAGCTGTATTTATTATGATTTCGTTTGTCCTTTTTTAGTAACAGATTTTTGTATATGTCAAGGATTAACCTTTTTTTGATATTTCCAGAATTCTGGAAATTTTTTGTAACTTTTTTTTTGCTGGATATCTAAAAGATTTTCTATGCTTAAAAGTTTAAATACATCTATTTGTTTTATAAGCGTTTTCACTCATCACTCATAAAAAAATAAAGATA